ATAGTCCACTAGAACGCGTTTACAACATTCCAAATCAAGTTCTCTATTGAAAATTACCAAGCAGAACTCTTTCCAAGTAAGTACCACATAAAGTGCTGAAAAACAAAACTAGGTTCTTTATTTATGTCTTAATAAACTAGATCTCACGCTCCATGAGTCTCATGACTTTATGAATGGCATGGCTTTCACTTACTTGTGTGTATTTATATGGCGGTGAACTTATATAGAGTTTATGGTAGGCAGATATTACCACTCATCTTGGGAAAATTGACAAATAGGTAATTTGTCTCTTGAAATTTTGCCCTCACTATCCTTGTAGTTTTGAATCACATTGGTTTTGAATTGATTGGGATTTTTGATTTAGCAAATAGAACTTCTTTGATTGTAATTCAAACCACATTTTGACGAAAATAACATGAGAGCAGCTTTGTTTTGGAAGTGTGATAAAATTTAATACTATATATAACAAATGTGGAAATTATCACACTTTGCAAAAATATTATAAATCATGACTCTTAATTTCATGAATTAAATTATTGTTCTTCCTTATGAATATAGTTCACTTATGCCCCACAATTTGATCATTTTATTTTTATTTTTGTTTTTTTTTCATTCCATTCCATTCTTTTTTTTTTGGAACCAAATGAAAAACAAAGAATTAGGCTAAGGCAACGAGGCTCTCAGATACTTAATATATTTAGAGCTGGGAAACGGGTGGGCTCGACCCATAATAAGGGCTCGAGCCCTTAGGCCCGATTTCCCATTTTTCACTTCTTTTTTGAGGTCCGGTCTTTATTTAAAGGGCTTAGGGCTTGTTATGAAAAAATTTAAAAAAATAAAAATAAAAATTAAGCACTACAAATTAATTAAAATATTATGAAATTAAAAAAAATAAAAATACTCACGATCTTTTAGAAATTAAACAATAAACATTTAAAAGTATAGTAATAAAATTTAAATCTTGATTAAAAAATAGTTCATTTTTTATAAATACACAAACATAGTAATTATACAAAAATAAAAAAAATATCAAAAATTTTATATTGTACACTAATATTTATTAAATAATATTAAATTAATTTTATAATAAATTAAAATTAATAATAATATAATGTATATAGGATTAGGTTTCAAGCGAGCAAGTCCTTGGCTTTAAATGCGTGTTTCACCAAAAAAAGATATTAATAATTATATAATAGAGTTTGAAAGGTCACTTGGGCTCAAGCCTTTTTTTATAGGGCTTATCAGAGCTAGTTCTCAAACTTGTTACTTTAAAAAAATTATTTTCAAAGTCTAAACCCTTATTTAAGCAAAACTTTCAAACCCAACCCTTATTCTCGACTCTAAACATATCATCCTTGTAACTTCTTGCTTCCTTTCCTAGCAAGCTACTTCTTTTTTCAACTTGTCCTTAAATGCAAAGCAACACAAAGGCACATGGGATTCGAGTATAATTTAATTCTAGACGTAGAAAAATCAACAAGTAATCTAAATCCCAAGACAAATATTAGAAATTTTAAATTTATTCATATAAAAGGAATTACGAGAACATAGAGAGAAGGAGATAGATTTGGATTCCCTCAATTAGAGAGAGATAAAGAGACTTCTTTGTTAACGTGGGTTTCATGAATCTCAACTTTTCTTTGTTTAGTATCCAATGTTTTGAAACCCAAATTGAATTAGACAATCAAACCGTCACTCGATAAAAAAAGCAATTTGATTCAACCATTTAACCTGTTTTAATAGTTAGCTTGGATTAGCCCACTATGACCTAGATGGTTTTTGAAAACCCAACAAAAATTGAAAACCCAAAATGATTGGATTGTCTTGGGTTAGCCAGCTATGACCCAGATAGTTTTTGAAAACCCAACAAAAACTTAGATCCCAAAACAATTGAATTGATTTTTCTTTTTGCTCTTATTTTAGTAATAAAACTTTTTATTCAATTTAAAAATATTAATATCAACTAACTTTTGGATTATTATAATAAAATATTGAGTGCATTATTTGTTTATTGGTATTATATCAATGAAAGTGTAGAAAAAATTGAAAAATTTGCTTTAAAACTTAAAATAACAAATAATATAAATAAAGATATACATATGAAAAAACAGAGAAAATCAAAATTTAATATGTTGTGACTGAAATTGGAAATAATATTGTCTGTACTTTTAATATTTTATGCATATATATACACATAAATATTATTATTTTATTTAATTATTAAGTTATCGGTTCAACTTTTAGTTAAATTATGAGAACTATGACTCGTTGATTTTTTTGATTCACCATTTGCTTCGATTTTTAAAACATTGTTATTATCTCATCATTTGAACAACTGAACAATATTTGAGGGAAAAATGATAGAAGAAAAGATAAGAAACAAAGATGGAGTATTCCCAAACGGGTTCCCAAACATGACATTCCCCTTTTTTTCTCTCTAATGCAAATGGATTTAAATAAAAACATAATCAACACTAATGTGAATACTTTAATAAAAAAATTAATATTAATATAGAAGCAAAATACAACAGTAAGTTTCAAGGTTCCTGTACTTTAATCGCATTTTTATTTTTAATTTTTATAATTTTATTTTATTGTTCTCATTCTCTTTAATTTGATCCATCTGCAATATACGCTAGTTTCTATAATTCTAAAAATACATATAAGGATGACACACTAACGCTAACAAAGTTAATTTTACTAATGCATATTTAACTTTGTTAATCTCTTTACTTACTTTACTTAATCTTGCATTCATCTCTCACCCGTTCCGTCTAAGCTAAATATAAAAGAAAACGTTCCTCTCTTACTTTTTATTTTTAATCATACTCGATCAATTTATCTTCATGTCAGCATATTTTTACCTTGTTAGCAAATGGATTAGCAAAGTGATAACAAAATTAACTTTGTCAATACTAACTCATGATTTTTAGTTGCATTTCTAAAATTATAGAAATCAATTTACATATTGATCAAACTAAAGGAACAACAAATAATGAAATAAAACTATACCTAGGGATTAAAAGAAAAACGCAATTAAAGTGCAATGACTTTTAATATATTTTTCCTAATATGAAAAATAAGAGTCATAGTGAATCACACGTCATTGTTTTTATAATAAGTGTAGTCTATTGACAACTCATCTCATCTTCATACTGGATAAAATATGTATAAAAAATCATATTGTCTATAGATCATGAATAATGCCCATAATGTTGAATGCCTTTTTTCCAATACAAAGGGAAAAAGGGCAATATGGTAAGATGAAAGAAATGTCTGCATAAATTGGTGAAAGCTGAGGCAGAAACAATTTTAAAATGTGAAAGAAACACATGGACAACTCAAGACAGTAATTAAATTGAAATACGTCTTCATCAAATGGTGCAAGTCGCTGCAAAGTGAACAACATATGAGAGCCTCATCTGAACATCACAACCATCATGTTTTTTAATTTTTTCTTTTTCGTTAGGTTGATTATGATTTTTTTATTTTTTTGGGTGAACATTTTATAATAAATGTTGAGGTTGATTGAATGTCTATTATTTAAATTTCAATCCCCATCCCATATATATATATATATATACATGCATGCATGCAGGGTCTATAAATTTTGAACTGTAAGGGCATTATATATTGATTGCATATAAGGATGCACTCTTATAATACAAAATGTATAATAAGAAACTAAAAAAATGAGAGGGGAAAATACAGTTCATATGAGAAAACATAAAATAAGCAAAAAAAAAAAAAAGTGATTTAGTTTTTCATGTGAGCCATGAAAATTATAAATATAAAAAACTAATATTATTAATCAATAGAACAATTAATATTTATGAAATGGAGACATATAATACAAATACTACCTATATTTATTAAAGAAATTAAAGAAACTAAAAATAAAGTTTGTGGTATTGTGGCATGCCGTGGGCAAAAACATTATAACGAGTATGGCTAAAAAAACCTATATTATCATTCTAATCATAGATGAAGACTACGCATTATCTCACAAGACATCAATTCAAATATAAAACTTACTTGTAACTACATAATTTGGTCAAGGAATTTTTTTAATAATTTTTCCAAGTTTTTTTTTAAACAATTTGTTTAGGTATAATGAGTTAATGTGAGTTTTTGTTATCAAGAACATTCAAATTTTGGACTAATGTTAAGGAAAATCCAGTCCTTCTACTCATCTACCACTTATTTACAAATTTTTTTTTATGATACTTGGAAAAATGACAGTTAAGTTGTAAAAAATTAAATTAATAATAGTTATGTTTCTGATAATTTTTTTCAAAAATGAATTATAAATATTAATTTAAACAATTATAATATGATTTATATTTGAAATTTAAATAATTTATCTATTATTGAAACTCCTAAATTTATAAATATATATTTTCAACCCATTTTTTCATATAATTTTGGCCGTACTTAACCGTGATATGGAATTAACTATTATCCTCCCTTGATAATAGTTTGTTTCTTTTTAAATTTTTAAAACCAAAATTGACTTAGGTGTCTCTTATGTTGGTATCTTGGACAGGTTTTTTGTTTAATAAAACGATCAATTAGTTAATAAAGAAAAGTTATAATAGATAAAGTTTATTAAAGTTGATCTATTTAATAAGAATTTAATTTATAACTTATAAAACTCTAGACTCAAGTCTTGCTGCATGATTGAGTAATTTATAACTTTTTTTTGTAAGCTCTCTTTAAACTTAAAATTTCCAAATCTATTTCAACTTAACTTTTGTTAATGAAAAAAAAAGAAATTTTTATTTAGATTCACTTTTTTTAAATAAATAAACTGATAAACAATGTAGCATCAACTAACTACGAAACTACCAAAGCATGTGGAAGATATCGTTGATTGAATTCGGAAAGCCCGGTTGAAGAAAACAGCGAAGTTCGAGTGTCATGTGAAGCGTTTGGACTAACAGACAAAAAGATTTTTTCAACTTTCAATAATGACGAGGTCCAATATATGGAAGATGAAGGAAAATTCAAAATTCAAAGAACAACGTTCCAACAAGAAACACGATTGGCCGGTTCACCTGCTTGGTGGCCTTACGCGTTGGAGTGGCCAACGCCTTCTCTTTCTCTGTTCTTTTTATGCCTTCCTCTCTTTTTAACAAAATCTTTTTTCAAATTTGCCTTTCTAGTTTCTACCTGCTTTCTCTCGTTCCTGGCGAGACCAAAAGCTTTGCAAAAAGGTTCCATTATTTTTTGGGTTGAGATTCTGCAGATTCTCCCCTCTTCGCCTTTCGATTCAGTTGTATTTGAGCTAATACTCGCCGTAGATGCCGAATTGGGAACTCAGCAACTGTTGCCGGCACGACCAGGTCGTGTTCTTGGCCTGTGTTGGTGCCTTCACCGTTGTCATCCTTGCGGTACGCATTCCTTTCTTAATCTCACATTTCTTTCTTAGTCCTCACTAAGGAAAAGCGACTCAATTTAGGATTACTGCTGTAGTTTCTCCCGAACTTAAGTCGAATATATCCTCGATTGCTCAAATAGCGATTTAATTCAACTGGGGTCTATAATTATTCTTCCTCCAAGGTTTTATGAGATTTAGTTCGTAACTCTTGGTGAGTTTTCTATCAAACATTACAGTTTGATTTTGTTCCTTATTTTATAAATGCAACTATATGTTCTGAGTAAATTTACTTGAATGTTGGATGTAAATGGACCATAGGCTTTATTGTTGAAAACAACCTAAAATGGACATAACATAGGAAAAAATCCAGATTCTGCAAGTGTAATTTTAATGCTTGGCACGTATTAATTATGGACGCAATACATGTAGAGAGCAAAATGAATGTGAGATGTTGAAGAGTGAAGATACTATATTACTAACTTTTAGCTATTCATCTGTCCATAAATCCAAGATTTCCTTGTAGAAAGTTTTCTTAGAGAATCATAAGGCTAAAATAGGAACAAGATTGAAGATATATGTCATTGTAGTGCCTGTCTTATTTCTAAACTAGTCTTGTGCGAACTTGCTGCTATATGGATGGGATCAAAATTAGTCTACTGGGATGCGCTAATCAAAAGAAATAACAGGTGGTTGCCGAAGGTAAATAATATAGTACTGACAATGGTCCTTTTCTAAAGGAAGTCCTTAGTTTGATTATTATACACACATTTTTCTATATCACACCTAAGTAGCTTTTGGTCTATAGAGAAATATTCAGGCAATTTATATGTCACCCTCATCAGTTTGATCAAGTTGGTCTATCTGCAATTGGTCATCTAATGCAAATACTTTGTTCTGGTGGTTATAGCTATGGAGGACTGTGTTGCTTACACCTTTTAAGCTCATCACTGTGTTTCTGCATGAACTAAGTCATGCAATTGCTTGCAAGCTCACTTGTGGTCAGGTAATGTTGTCAATGTCCGAGCTTCTTGTTCCTTGGTGATACAACTATAAAGTTTGAATATTTTTCTTTTAAAATTATTTTTCAATTGTTTAGCTATATGACATCTGCGGCTTACATGTTTCCACTTGTGTTTAACCATGACATGAAATGAATATTATCATGTGAAAGTAGAAATGGGTTATAGATCATATATCATCAAGCATGTAGCTTCTGGAAACTAATTTGACGGGGAATATTGGGCTTCCAATGTCCATCTGATGATCTAATTTATTGTACTTCTGGTTCAACGTGCATTCAATAATTAACGCATTTCAGCAAGGTATGGACTAATGTGATTTAAGATGGAAAATGTAGTTCATTGGGTTGGCTACTTTTGAAGGATGAATCCATTGCTTCACTTGAATTCTCTGAGATAAAATATGTTGCAACCTGGTTCTTTTTTAAAGTACAGCTATTGCATTATATAACTCTTTCTCATAATGTGATCGTCCCATCACTTTGTTAACACGTTAGAAAAATTGAAACAACCATAGGCATTTAAATTATCGCTTTCAGTGATGCAGCAAGTTATAACTGATGGATTTTCTGGACCTGATATTTCATTTTCATGTTCATAGTATCTTACCTGCCCTTAAAAGCTTTTGAAGATCATCGTCCTTAAAAATCTTGTAACATATCATTTAAGAAATTGCATGTCTTATTCATATTAAGTAAACTCTCCCCTATCATAAATTTCTATTGCATTAATACTACATGTCTGCAACGAAGTGAACTTGTATTCTATATGATTACTAATATATTCAGCTACAGGTTAGAAGTCTACATTTTAGGAGGGCTGACAGGGTCACTAATGGCCTTATTCAGGCTTAGGAATTTTGGAAGTTTGATTCTGCTTAATGCTTCTTCATAGTTATTTCATTCTCTTCTGTTTGCTGAATCAGAATCAATTTGATGCCAACAGGTAGAGGGCATCAAGGTTCTTCCCAATGAGGGGGGGCTGACACAGACACGTGGTGGTATATACTGGGTGATTCTGCCTGCTGGATGTAATGCATTTCCCCTCTCAAATTCTTTTAATAACAATTAGTTCTTCCTGTGCTAAATGTCGCTCTCTGTATCTGTGATGTATATATAAATATATATATATATATGTATGTATGTATGTATATATGTAACATGGTAATAACAAACATTATGAAGTTAATTGAGAAGCAAGCACTTACCTAGACTTGTAATTGAGTTGAGTCGAGCTCATTTGAAAACTAACATGCTCAAACTTGTCTAATGCATGTATATATTAGTTAATTACTAAGCTGTTTCTGAGCTTAACGAGCTGTGCACTAATTTTCATGCTCAATTCATTTAATTAGATAACCTTACTTTGTTGTTTAAACTTGTTCATCTAACGTGTGAGCCAACCCAAATATAAGCTTGTTACAGGTCAAATTTAAGCAGGTTACAAATATCTCAACCAAATTAAATCCCTAATTTTAGAGTTAACATTTGAAAAATCAGGAAGTTTCCTGAAGTCATGTGTATTGGAAGCATATCGTGTACTATACCCAGACACTAGCCATTTTATCTCTGTGATTGAATTTCATAATAGCTTCTTCAAAGATGCACTCACAGTTTCTTTGATTGGTTTTGAACTAGATCTTGGTTCGTCATTTTGGGGAATGGTTTTCATACTTGCTTCGACAAATCTTCTCGCTGCGAGAATTGCTGCTGGTTGTTTTATTGTTGCTCTGGTTGTTGTGCTCTTCATTGCTAAGAATGTAAGGCAGTTATAGATGCAGATATGCAAATGTTTCCTTTCTAAATTTATTATCGTTGTGGGCTGACTTCCTTTGCTTTTGGTTGCCTTGCTACATACCCTTGCTACAAAAAAGTGGACACTCCGAGGACTCTGTATTGGTGGGTATTCCGTGATCACTGTCAACAGAGAACAAAAGGGAAAATAAATTCACATGATTTCTGATATTATTCTTGTTTACAATTAAATCGCAGGATTTATCATTTTTATCGCCATAATTTGGCTTCTGCAAGAGAAAACTACTGTTCGTATCCTTCGTTATGTCATTCTCTTTATTGGTATGTTCTTGTCCTCTGTGCTGTCAGTATGCTTCTGGTTATTTCAATATGCTTCTGGTTATTTCAATATGCTTCTGGTTGATAATGCATAATTGTATAATTTCCATGGAGAGAAGAGAAGAATGTAGCTTAACTATAATTTTGTTAATTTCAGGTGTGATGAACAGTTTGTTCTCAGTTTATGGTAATATTTCATTCACCTGTGCTATATATGATTTTATTGTCTTTGCAATTTTAAATAATTATCTGACATCACTTCTAATTTGTCTGGTATAGATATTTATGATGATTTAATATCTCGAAGAGTCAATTCCAGTGATGCCGAAAAATTTGCTGAACTTTGCCCCTGTTGTACTGGGTGCGGATGGGGGGTTATATGGTAAGCTTTCTAGAATGTAAAAAAATGCTAGAATGTCCAAGAAGAAGAGGACACACACACCCACATACACAAATGCAGGATCTATTATGCAAGTGAAGTAAAACATGTTTGTTATTCCTTCTAGTCCTTTTTATAAGGCCCTGTTAACTACTTTATTGAGATTAAGGATATTAGTTAAATTTTGGAAACTTTTACAATTTTCCAAAACTACCATTCGATTGGTATAACTCAGAGAATACAGGATGTAAAAATCATTATAAAAAGTTGAGCATTTTTGGGAATTAGTTATAAATCTTTCATTAAATTTTGTAAAGGATTTTGTATTAAGGACCAATGGGTAATGCCTCATAAATATGACTGGAAGGGGTATCAAATAAGTTCTTTTTTTATTTTGGGACTCTCAGCAATTATGATTGAACATTGAGGCAAAGTTATTGAGGTTTGTTAAATTCCAATTTAATTGTTTGCAAAAATTGGGTGAAAGTGCGTTAATGAAGTAAAGCGCAGTTAAAAAAAGAAAAGGGTATATCACTGTGAATAAACTGAATTTCCTGTAATAACAATTCGTTATCATTACTCTAAGTATCTGATGCATTTTATTTACAGGGGGATGATATCATTTGCATTTCTGTGTGCATCTTTGTACCTTGGACTAGTCATATTATCATGAGGTAAGTTTGCTGCTGCATAAACTTGCTTAGCATATTGCAGTTGTATAAATTCCTGTGAAGATGTTCAATTGAAAATGAAGAACTCCTACTCTGTTAGTCTTTTTTTCTTTCCTTATTAATTAGTACAAATATATTTGTGATTAGAGATAAATGCAGGCATAGAATCATATGCAGGTTAAAAAAATCTTTGGTAAAGAGATAGTTTAACTGATGATTTGTTATTATGGACTTTTCCGTAGCTGGGAGATTCAAAGAATGACTAATTCCTAGAGCATTCATTTTATGCTAAATATATAGAGCTGTAAAATCTGCTCAAATTGAAACATTTACAATCATGCAACAGTATATTTGGAGGGAGTGATATAAAAATTAAAAATGTGTAATGACAGCAGTGGACTGAAATCTGTGCTGTTGAAGAGGTCTTGATATCATACAAATTAGAATTCAATGCAATAAACAATAATAGGACTATAGGAGACGGTTCAAAAATTATTTTTCATACTTCATTATAATAAGAGCTGTTGTTGTCTGACCACTTCTAAAATTGTCTGGTTTCTGTATAAAAAAGCCTAAACACATGCATTGTTTTTTTTTTTTTTTGAGGGTAAAAAAGCACACGCATTGGTATTTCATCATAATTTAAAATATCCTGCACTTTTATGTTTCCAGGTTAAGAATATGGCTTGCAAACAGCTCTTGGTTTTGCAGAGTTTTACTGCTGTTTGTTTTGATGGTTTGTACACTGATTCTTGATAATACTACTTATTGTTTGTACCATATATGACAATTTCTGTACAGAATATGCATTCTTGTATTTGATTATTTGCACAGATTAAAATCTTTAGGAAAGAGAAAAATTGTCATTCAGTTTAGACATTTTCCAATCTTAAATTCGTATTCCCTTTTTTATATAATTATTTAGTATTTGATATTATCAAATTAGTTTCAAGTATTAAGTCGAATTGAAATAATTCTTCCAACATGATTCAACTCTTATTTCTGAATACTTGTTATATTGATAAATGACGTTAATACAAAACTATTTTTTTAATGCTTGGGAGTGGAATAATTTAAAACATGGGATCTTATCGTTTTCATTGTACATTTAACTAGACAATATATTCTTATTTTTCTGATAGTAAAATAAAAGGTGTTTTTGTAAACTTTGAAAAACTTAAATGATGTTTGGTTTCAGATACGAAATAATTTATACTTTATTGTTTTCGTTTTAATTTTGACATTTTTTTCATTAAAAAAAAAAGAGATTGCAAAATGAAAATTTTTAATTATAAATTGTAGAAGTTAATAATTAATATTAAATTGACAAGTGTCCTTATAAAGTTAACAACTCATTCTTAATAAAACATTGCATCATTGACAAATTTGAAACTAATACTGAACATAGTTATGGCTCATGAAACAAGCAGCCTATAAAAATTTACAATTTTATTACAATGAATTAGCAGCTGCCTTTCAGAAATTAACTTCTTAATTCTTATCAAAATATTAACTTCGCATCATAGATTAAAAAATTGAAGATTGTAAAAAAGTTGAAGAATATGTTAAAAAAAATATCAACTAAAATTGAAGGATGCAATGTCATTTTCGTTTTGAAGGCTATCCTCCATCCGCTCTTTTCTCTATTTCTTTTTGTTTTTGATAATCAATGGGGCAAAACGACCAAACTGTATTATTATCCTCCATCCCTTCTAATCAAATCAAATAGTTTTCTAATGGATATATACTATATAATAGGATAAAAAGACAAAAATATTCATAAAGTGATTAGTTAGGGGTACCCAGAAGCTTAGTGATAAAAAAGGTATAAATACACGTAGCGTTGTATGAATTGGTACAAAAGTAATTAAATTGTTAATTTTGCACTAACACTGTTAGTTTTTGGTGTTAAATGCTAACTGTGTATGTCACATGTCAATGTTTACTAACGTGGATTAAAAAGGGAGCAAAAATACTTACGAAATTGTTGACTAGGAGTATTCAGTAGCCTAAAGTGAAAAAAAATGCAAAAATACATATAACGTTATCAAAGTTGGTAGAAAAATAATTAATCTATTAAATTCCTTAAATGTTGATTGTTTAGCTAATATCTAAGTAGAAGTTGACTACTTTTTTTGCTAATGTGACCAAGAAATGTTCCTAAGCGAATTCCTACGGATGTTAATCAGTCAATTGTGTAAATATCATGTGGGAAAATGTCATTTTGATCGAATATCAAATTAAATCACCCGCTTCTTTGCAGCAATGACGAAAACCATTTAAAAATTTTGAACCTATCATGAATGAAATTGCTTAAAGTTGTGACAATGTTCTTAAGATAGGACGGCATAAGAGGTATGCTTAGTCTCGATATTTAATTGTGTATAACCTAACTCACTGTGTTGAATTTTAAGTTTTGCAGATAAGAAAAATGAGTGGAGAGGGAGGAAGGAAGGGGGTAGGATACGTGGCAATGAAAAGAAACCACATAATATGGATTTTGACAGATTGTCACTATTGCACCTACTAAAATAACATTATGAGTACTTATATGATGATTGATTAACCTCTATAAAAATTCACCTGAGAATATTTTGTCTGCATCAATAAAAAATGGTCAACTTTTGCTTAGATGTCAACTAAACGGTCAACATTTAAAGGATTTGATAGATTGATCACTTTTGCACCAACTCTAATAACATTATGTGTATTTTTATCCTTTTTGCCCACTTTAGGCTATTGAATGCTCCTAAGTAATGATTTCGTGAGTATTTTTGCCCCTTTTTTAGTCTACATCAGCAAAGACTGACACATGACATGTACAGTCAGCATTTAACATCGAAAACTAACGGCATTAGGGCAAAGTTAACGGTTTAGTCATTTTTGCATCCACTCATATAATGTTATAGGTATTTATGTCCTTTCATCACTTTAAACTATTAGGTGCCCCTGCCTGATCACTTTGTGAATATTTTTGCCTTTTTATTTTATATAATAAACATATACTTTAATTAGAGATTCAATCTTTTGTTTTAAGGAAAAACGATAATTAGTCCCCAAAAGGTTAAATTAATACTAGTTGGGTACTGGGCAAAATTTGCTAAACAATAAATTGCAAATAATTTGAATAATATTAGAAATATAGTTATAATTTGAGAGTTACATTTGAAGCTTAAATATCTTATTTACAAGTAAAATTCTTGAATTTGTAATTGTCTAAATCAATATTCTAAAAAAAATTAGGATCTAATTGTTATTAATTTATTCTTTTGAACTCTAATTGTTCTTCTTCCTCAAGTTAAGGAAAAATTCATTTATAATATTTTTAATGAAAATATTTATTATGTTTTGATGGGCGAACTTTTTAAGAAAATGCTACCCCATTTCAATCCTTAGAAGTTCAATGCCATTTTATTGGGGATGAGTTGGGGAATTATGTCAGCACCAGTAAATATATATCTATGCAAATGCCCATGACCCCCTTCAATTTAATTTAGTGCTTTTAAATAGAAATAAGTCAATGGAGGACTTCCTATATTACACAAAATCATACATTGCTCTGTTTGCTTTTCATATTTAGAGGTGGTGTAGTGAGGGTAAAAGAATTGCAATGCTCACTATGTTCTCGATTCTTGAGCTCAACTATTTAGCTGTGAAATAAACAGTAAAATACAACTAGAAATCTCCTCCATCCACATCCAATAAAAAAAAGTACAACTGAGAATAATTTTTTCCTTTTTATATAACTATATGGTACATGCTACATATAGGGGACTAAATTCAAGAGCTGTCAGCCTAACATCTGACAGTGATACGTGTGAAAAAAATTTCTTATAAGAACTCAATAACATTCTAGTCTAAACCGTTCATCTAGAAAGGTAGACAGCCATCTATTTGGGTTCAGGTAAACGCATCTCAATTGCAGAATTTTCAGGAATCAAAGATCCTAGTTGTCTAAGATAGTTGTCAAGATGAGAGCAATCTGATGTTTGCTCCTGCAAATCAGCATTATTCTGAATAACTTCTACATGCTCACTTGGTTCTGAAGTTTCTTTGACCTGGATATCTTCATAAAATGATTTAAGAGCATCATTTGTTGACAACAAATGAACAGATTCATACAACCCTTGTAATTTCTTTCTCTTATCATGCGCCTCAACTAATTTCTCTTTCACTTCTTCTGGAAGGTAAGCAAAAGCACTTCACAAGTTGCAAATAGCAAGCAGGAAAAGCAAAAAAAAAAAAAAGAAAAAAAAAAAAAAAGAGGAAATGTTAGAGAGCAAATAAGACTGTTAAAAATCTAAAGATGCTGCATAAACTCCTTTAGAGCATTTGCTTTCATAATACCTCGTAACACCTCTCACAAGTCCCCATCTATAACCAGCAAGTACTGATTCTTTAAAACCGATATTAAACCCCTCCTGTGAACAAGCTTCCTTCCCAGCCATGAGACCATCGCGATATCCAAGCTAAATTACATCAACAGAATAAAAAGTAACAGTAAATCATTTTATCAAGGTAAACATTCTAAAACTAAGGACTCTAAATTATTAACTTACTGTATGGAATTGGTCATGCCGCCTCCGCCATTCCCTGTCCAAATCTGATGATTTATCTAACTCATCATCAGAACCATCCCACAGAGACCCGTCTTCAAGGCTCAAATCATGGCCATCACAATCTGAACGCATAATATTCAAACAGATGTCTCAAGAAACAAGCCTGAAAAGCAATCAATGCTTTGTAATGCTGTAGCTGAGCAATAAAGTTATAGAGACTAGAATAAATATGATGTCACAGAAGACAAAAACATTTCAATTTCAAATTTTCCATAATAGTTGAATATTTGATAAACTAATGCCAGCACAGTTGTTGATCATCGTATTGAAAACCAGATATTCATTTAAATAATTTCATAGCTGCCACTTGTTATTATCAGTTAGTTCAATGCTAGATATAACCCTGAAAGCAGCTTTCAGTGGCTACATATATCTAGATTATAATGTTACAAGTCAACGCTGCTATTGGTTAAGAATATTTGGGAAATTTGATCACCATGTGGTACAGAGAAAGAAATTGGTGTTCAATACAAGGAAAACACGAAGCAATTATGAAATCATCTTGGAATTTCCTTCTTTCCCTAAATGAATTTGAATGATAGAGAAATAGTGAGCTTCAGTCTCATGTCTGTTCTAGCAATAACTGTATGTTATTCAAAATCACAAATCCAAGTTCGAGACTTCGAGTATTGTTAGGCCAACATGGAAGAAGCTCTACAAACATGGAATATCTTATGTCTTTAATTGATTCTGTTGTTTTCTGCAATCATGATATGAGATCTTGGAATCTTGACCCTTCTGACACATTTTCTTGCAACAATTATTTTCAGTTCCATACACATTCACCTACAGGGGAAAGCAGTTCTTGACAAGCCAAATTGAGAACCGAAGTCTCCTTCAAAGGTTGAATCCTTGTTTTGACATTGATACTCAATAGGATAAACAAAAATGACATGTTATAAGTTTGAAGGTCCCATATGGATCTTTTCCCTAGGATGGATGAACGTGGAGATATGAGTCAGAAACTTCAATGTCCAGCAGATAATTAGTTACCTTGGAAATAAATCTCTTTGGAGAATATTAGGTGTGTTCTACTACTTTGAATCAGTTTCTTCAAGTTCACTTTAAACAATTCAGTAATAAAAAGAATAACAAAACTGCAGCCGTGAGCAATTTACGGGACCCTGTAGTTTGTCTGTTAGAGAGGAATGCCCTTATTTCAAGGTCATGTTTTCTCCTTTAAATAAATATGTTAAGGGATATAATTATCTTTGTCGCTAGGCCTTGCTGATCAGCTCATGGTTTTTCAAAGAAATCTCCTTTTCTGATAACCAAAGAGATCATCGGTTCTTTATTAAGTAGCTTCATAAGCCTTCTGTCAAATTATTCAACTTTACGCCTTTTATTTTCTCATTCAAGGATTTATTATCCTTCACAGTTTGTACTTTCTTCTCTTTCAGATACAATTTTTTCACTGAAAAAGAAAAAAAAAAAACCACTACATTTGGCACTACCATATGCTGAATGTCTTGACTCTTGACACACAATTTGACCGTACTTTATGTATTATTAACAATGGTGGCAAAGGTATTTAATGTGTGCTCATCAATTTACAAAAAATATATGAAAAAAAGGGGCATAAACAGTTTACCTCCACAGCACATGTCCTAACCTAGTGGAAAAGAGATTACGATGAAGAGGGGAAGCCTGTTGGAGTTTCCCTGGCTTAAGTGCAGCAAGAGTTCAACTATGTAATAAAGTTAGAATGATAACAATGTTTGATCAATGCTTTCTTCATTAACAGACAATATCTTTCAGATATCTTTTAAATTATATGTACACATCGCAGAGAGTAAAAAGTATCTGTTTAAAATATTAAGTAACAGAAGCTCCATATAGACTCAACCAGACATAGTCTTACCATTTGAATTATTTTGTTGATCATTAGCACTAGGTGTTAGTTCCAATTTTGAAAGTTGCAGACTCTCCGAGTAAAGTTCTTCAGCAAATCCATTATCCATCTGCAGTGGAGTCAACCATAAAAAAAGAAAGCAGTCAGAGTAAAGTTCTTGAACAAAACAAGAGTTCATTGTCATGCAAGTTCTCAATACACATAAAAACAGTAAAACAAATCAAAGGAGGGGAGAAAAGATAAAAAAGGTGGGGCCATAGGCGGACCTATATTACACTCAGCTGAAATCTTTGAAATATGTATAGTTGATATAATACCTTTTTTAATTTTTGTTCCAGATACTTTGACACAACTCGAGCCAAGTCGTTTACAACTTACAAGATCATACATCACAAACACCTTGAGAATTTTCTATATCGATGATATAAGATAAAAGATTAATGAACAGAATGCCAATACACAACCAATCCAACATTGTAAAGCAACACAATCCAGATCACACAAGTCGTTAGTAATAAAAAAAATAAACTAGTATAATAGCCAATTACACACCATTCAAGAAAAAACTAGTGCCAAAAAAAAAAAGTTAAATTCAATCTGTAAATATTCACAAATTCAAAAGTGTCTATATTCAATCGATTACACGACCAGATTCAAAGCCAGATTAAAATGAAAAATTTTAAACAAAGCAAGAACAACCACGCAGGAAACAGATGACGCGGGGAACAAATTCAACTCTAGATTCAAAGCCAGAATAAACAAATCACTCACCGGACCGAGAACAACCACGCAGGGCTGAACACGGTGGACGGCGTTTGACAGACAGACTGTGGAGTGTGGAATACTTGTTTGTCGCCGAAGAGAAATGGATCCCTCCCGAGAGTGTTTTGTCGGCCCTCTTATTAATTCCAGGGGAATTTAGATTTTTACAAGGATTTTATCTAAAATTTGATTTGATTTTAGAGAGAAAAAATATATATTTAACTTTATATATATATATATATTTACATTACTAACTTAAAAATTCCAATTGAATTAAGATATGCCAATTGTTTATATATTATTTATTTTATAATAAAATTTTATTGTTAATATTATCAATAATTTAAAAAGTAAATAAAAATATATTAAATATGTAATATTAAATTATCTTTCCCATTTTTGAATATATTAAATGCACTTTTAAATTTTTTATTTTTTGCTCCTTCTCATTCTCTTTCTTATGCCTATTCCTTCAAAAATTTTCCAAATAATTAATACGAATCACAGCCATTTTTTTTTTTTTTTTAGTTGTTCACAGGAGTACCGTAGTAGTGTAGGCAACCCACTCGACGGGAACACGCAATTTTATACCTTGGTACTTGTTTTATATAGTATTTAAGGGGGAAAAATGTTTTAGATTTTTAATCTTCATTGGATGAGTATAACAATTTATAGACTAATATGAATTGTTGTCTGTATTTGAGTATAATTAGATTAATAAATCTAATACCCATGCTGATTATTTTGTCAAACTTACTCATAAGCTATATGTTAATTTTTGTATATTTAATCACCCTCCGCCTTTACGTAATAGATGATGAGAGTGTTCTTATATTAATTATGAAGCCACTTTTCTTTTTTTATCAACTTCAATGACAGCCAAATTGGGCTCAAACCAAGAAAAAACTCTCCAGACAATAGTTTACATTTAAGCTCAATTTTTGTACCCATACAACTCCCGGATTATCTCTGATTATCAATGATCGATGAATAATTATACAACACGTGCCCTTTCCTAGCGGAAATATGGCACTGTAATTGATTGTGAACCTAAACTTACCAGCATAACATAAGTAACCACCTGCATCTGGTAATCAAAATTTTTTGGACATTAAACGGAAAATTTGATAAAACGACTAAAGATAACCAACTCACTGAGTATTTGACTAACACGCTTAGGGTGCGTTTGGTTTTCCTCCGTTTCACGAGAAAGCAAAATTTTACTTTCAAAATGTTGAAAGTTGTTTGGGTAAAATATTTGGCAGAAAAGCACATCCTGAAAGTACATTCAAACAGTAGCTGAAAGTGAATTTCTGAAACGTAACTGTCTGAAGCTTTTGAAAAGTGGATTTGAAAAGTAGGATGTTATTTGACCATACTACCCTAAGTTTAATCTCTTATTTTTTATTTAAAAAATAGTTAATTCATTAAAAATATAATTATTATTTTAATAATAATAATTAGGTATCAATTTTTTTAGTATTATAAATTAAGTAATTAATCATGTTAATTTTTAACATTAATGTATAATAAAAATTACAAATCTTTATTACATCTTTTAAAATTACAAATTAAAAAATATAAATAATTAAAGATCAAATTTTTAGCATTATAGATCAAAATTTATGTTATTTATAATCTTTATTATATTTTTTAAATATTTTGAATATATTATATTTATATAATAAAAATTATAAATCATTATAAATCAATGTCCTTTTTGGTAATTGTACATTCAAAAGCACATTTCACTATCACAAACCAAACAACTTTCAATGTATCAAACTGACTTTTGAAAAAATATATCCAAACACAAATTTCGTTACAACAACTGACTTTCATTAAACTGACTTTCTCCAAATGAACTTTCACCAAATGAACTTTTGGCAAACTGAAAACCAAACGCACACTAAGACAGTTCAAAAACTTGCGTTTGGTAATCAAAAAGTATCCAAAATGGTCAACCAAAATTGAGCAAAAACTCGTCAAGACCGTCCGTCCCAGCATCCCTATTACTTCCTGCAAAACAGGTGTGTTCCACGTAACAATGCCATCCGCTCATTAAGGTACTGAAAACCAGCTTCAATGCCTCCTCTGCAAAGAAAACCAAAAACGTCAATTCCAAAACTCTATTGAAATAGCTTCAATGCCTCCTCTATCATTAAAGCCTCTGCAAAACTCAGTCGATAAAGTTTCAAGTAACATGAAAATTACGCATGTTGTTTTAAAAGGTAATATATAAGTTGCATGCCTTTCGCTTTTTCAGTTTCCCTTTCCTGATTCCATCATTACTAGAGCCCATCACTTGCTCTCCACTTTTATCTCCAAAGGGTAATGTTTTGATTTCGTCAAAGAAACTTTCTGTCAGACCTTGCAACCTGGAGTAAAATTATTAAATCAAAATAACATTAGCAATAACAGCTAAAAATGAGGGGGGTAATGATGCGTGTTATAAGCATTATCTTTGCAAACTCATCACTTCTTGAGTTTGCTACAATATCAAGACCACGTTCCAGGCACTTTTCATACCCATTTGTTGATTTCTTCAAGTATTTATTTCTCTTCCTCTCCATCTTGGTAAGTGGAACACGAGTGAAAAGCTCCTCCTCTTGCCGAGCACGCTCCTCCATCTTGGCAACATGTTTTTCAACTTCTCTGCTAGTTCCCACAAAATCTCTGACCTGTGCAATATGCAGCCAAAAACAATACAACACATTAACTCAACGAGTCATTGCAATTCAAGCCTCAAAAATTAAACCATTAGGTTACCTCTTCAGGCCGATCCTCCATATCATTCACCAATGACTTGATATAATCACTCTGCTTAGCTTGCCTCAGAATCTCTTTTTCTCTTCTCAATGCATTTCTTTCATGCTTTGATGTTTTTTCTAGCTCCATAGAAGTAGGTGCAATTTTTACAGGACGATACACTGCATCACCATCCTAAAGTGTACAGTGATTATGTCAGATACAGGGGGAAAAGGATCTCTTGCTTCTAATAATACCACCATTTCTGATCTTGATGATATCATTTCATACACTCACCTGAGATGTGGCATCTAACTTGCTAACAAGCATGTCTGGGTTTGGACGGTACTTTGATATATCCTCACTCTTATTGGGTTCAACTGGCTCGTCGGTTGAAATAACATTTCCCTTCACATTCTCACTAGCCTTTGTTAATTTTTGGATTTGGTATTGTTGTTTTTTGTCAATTGGCCGAATCTGTAGTAAATGAGGATGTGGAATGTGTTAAACCCCAAATATATATTTCAAATTGACCTTCATGGGTAAGAAAGTATTGAACCTGACCTTTTCCAAAAATAACCTTATCTCCACAATACTTCGCACAACAGGATGTCCTTCTATTGAGAATCCTTTAGCCTTTTGGAGCAAATAATACACGAGGGACTGACAATAGTTCAGAAGCAGCAAATTTTTTGCTTCAAGATAGCTAAATCCGACTGCAGTAGGGTATTCATTTTGTTTGACCTGATACAAGAGATATGGGAATATTTCAGACATGCTAAAGGGGCAACGGTAGAAAGAAGTATAAAGAAAAATAGATTGAGTAAGAACCAATGCATTAACTCCAAAATGATAGCATTATCAATATGGCGATAAAGTCAAAAGAATAAAAGCGTCCAAGGAGAAAAGGCGATAAAAAATAATAAGCTTCTTTTCTTAATGCAGATGCTTCCCACCTTGACAGTTAAAGATTGGATTTTACTTCTTATAGCATCAAGTCCTTCTTTCATTTCTTTCAATAATGCCGAGAGCTGAGGTGCTTCACTGAAAACAAAGTAAAGAAAATGAGAAAATTAACCTTACAAGGCTCCAACCATTTCCCTATATGTATCTGAGTATCAAAAGGTTGAAGTACCCATACAATTTAGTTTTCATTGCCCACAAACTCAGACAAACTTACTCTTTCTTGCCATAACCATTACTTGAGAGGTTAGCAGTCTCCTCCATGGTTGAGGAAACAACTACAATTACCTTGTCACCTACAATTTTGGAGAAAGATAAGTTTTATTAAACATCAATGAGCATGCAAAAATCAAATTATGCAATTAATCCATTTTTCCAGCAGAAAAAAAAATTAAACATTCTGAGCTGATAACTTTAATCATATAGAGGATCAATTATGAGACATCAATGCTTAAAAACAAACATCCAACAAAAAAGAACTTGTTAAGTCTCCATGAAGCCCTCAGAGAAAGACTAAGCATCCCTGCCCGTCAAAGCTAACCTTCAGGATTGGAGCTTGAAAAATATTAAAGACTCTAATGCAAGCCCTAAACCACAATTTGAGCTAAATTGACTATTGTCACCCAGAGTTCAGAACCTCAAGTTTAGGAAGAGTCTGAAATACAGAAGTTACAAAAAATGCTTAAGGGTAGACACAACTCTCCCACTGTTCCCTATGCCCCTATCATGTCAGAAAAACCTATAGCCATAGAACTTACAGAAGCAGCTGAAACCAATGCTTCCTTGGAAGCAGATGACTTTTTTATGATGGAAGCAACAGCCTCAAAACTTCAGTCCCCAAAGTTCATATTCTCCAAAAACGTGTAAGGCACTAGAAACATGGCTAAAAAGCCTTTGGATGAACCACAGAGCGCTCAACCTCATGGACCTTGGGAATGGCTTTTTCCTCAAACTTGACAAGGATAATGGATTACAAATGTCTCTTGCTAGTGGACAATGGATGGCGTGTGACCATTATCTTATGATGAGGAGGTGGTCCCCTAAATTCGACCTAGGCTCTACAAGCATTCATATAGTCGCAACATGGATCCACATTATGAATCTTCCACTAAAGTACAATAATGAAGAGATAACATATGGGAGATAGCTTAAAAAAAACCATGAAGGTTGATTTTTACACATCAGAACATGTTAGAAGAAGATATGCATATTTCTGCATGAATTGTACATGCATATGCGCCTTATACCTGGCTTCAGGCTAAAAGACAGGAGCTATAATTTAGTGTAAGAAGGGCTTCACTCTCTGTGACAGACTGACCAGGTATGGATGACTCGTACATTTAGCCGATGAACTGTCTGTACACCAGTCATACAGTTCAGACATTTTGCCGACAAGTAACCAAAGAGACCTTTTGCTTTGACCACTGAAACAACTAATCAACAGGACACCCCAATGTCCCAATAGGCCAAGATGTAATTCTTGGACTCTAAACTATGGTTTAGAAACCAAGATGTCAACGAAAAGGAAAAAAGTAAGATGAATGTGCCTGAGATGTAGGTTCTTCAGCTTCCCATTTCAGTGCATCCAGATTATATCATAGAAAGTGGGTCTAGAGATACTTGGGTAACTCAAAACAATGTCAACAAGACACACCAGCTAGACACCCCCCAGAATCTGCCACCCAAAAGGTCAAAAGGCTTCAAATGACAATCAAAGCAGAACCTCAGGGGTTGATCCTTCCAATCAGGCAAAAACCTCTAGCAGAACAGAACACGTGTCTTTTGCAGTTATTGATCTATCCATAGGCGGACCTAGACTACACTCAGTGGGGGCATTAATATGCATAGTTGATACAATGTCCTTTTAATTTTTGTTCCAGATACTTTGACACAACTCGAGCCAAGTCATTTACAAGATCATACATCACAGGTACCTTGAGAATTTCCAAATTTGATGATAATATGAAAATATTAATAAACAGAATGCCAAAATATCCAAATCATACAAGTCGCTAGCAATCAAAATGAAGAGGCAAGAAGTATAACAGCCAATTGCACACCATTCAAGCAAAAACTAGAACAAAAAATAATTATGCCAATATTCCAAATCCAAAGGTGTCAATATTCAACGATTACACGACATGATTCAAAGCCAAATTAAAATGAAAAGCTTAAAACAAAGCAAGAACAGCAGGAACAGATGACGCCGGGGGGGTAATTCAAATCTAGATTCAAAACAACAGATCAAACCTAAGGTTCGAACCCTCTTCAATGCTTGCCCGAGAACAACCACGCTGGCTGACAACGGTGGACGGCGTCCGACGGAGTATGGCTTGTTTGTCGACTGAGAGAACTGGATCGACTAGTCACGAGGAAGGGTTTTATTCGGGGTTTGTGATTAATTTTAGGAAGAATTTGGTAGAGGCCCAAAATTAATTATTAAAATAACAAAATCATTAATGATACAGGATAGCAATTGACAAGAAAATCCCTAACAATAAAACAAATTACAGTTTAATCCTATGATAATGAATTTTACGTTTTAAGGGATTTAATTATTATTAAAATTTTTGATAAAATAATAAAAATATTCCTTAACTTGAAAAGGTACAATAAAGAGTTTTTCCATTTACAATTCTAATTCAGTAAATAATTAAAATAATTTAAGTATTTATAATTTTTTTATTACTTTTTTCAATCAATAAAGTGCAATAAAATTTTTCATTCACAACTTTAATTTTAAAATTCATAATCTAGTTCAATAAATAATTAAAGCAGCTTAGGCATTCATAACTTTTCATTAACATTTCATCTTTTTTTTTTGCATTAAAAATGAAAAGCTAAGTTTGAGATACACAAATAGTAGTAGAAACAACTACAAACAATTAATCATTAGATTCAAGGTTTTTCAAAAGTAGCCGATGACATCTCTGAGGAGGTTTCATAGATCACCTTGATATTCATATTAGCAGGAGTAACTATCGACTAACTCTAAGGTCGGAAGTCTCCCGAGAGAGATAGGGAGAGAGCGAGTACTGGTGGGGGGCCCCCCATGGCTCAATCAGCCGATGGTCCAGGCGGTGGATTAACTAAGGATGAAAAGATGCTTTAGCACGTAGCATTAACAAGTTGCACGAAGGGATGAAGAATCTTGATATACCTGTTGTGAAGGAGGTAGAAATGTCTGAAGCTAAGGCGGAAGCCCAGAAAACACAGAAGAATCCTGATGCTGAGAAATATAAGCCATGGTCTCAAATTTCCTACAAAGATTCATTAATGGGCAATGAAAGTATGGAGGTTGAAGAAGATTTTGAAACCTTGTTCAAGGAGTGGTTGAAGGAGGAAGAGGCAATAGCCCCTGTTCTTACTGAAGAATAAAAGAAAATATTCGAACAGATACCCAAGGTTGAGATGCCAGATGAACAGTGGAAAAATCTATGCTTATCGTGGAAGGATGCCATTATTATTACGCTAATGGGGAAAAGGCTCAGGCTTGATGAGATGAGAAAGAGATTGGAAATACGGTTGGGATCTTCCGATTTCGAGTTAGTGGACATGGAAAGTAATTATTTTGTTTTACGATCAGAGAGTAAACAGATGTGAACGAGACTCCTCAATGAAGGTCCATGGGTGATCCAAGGTCATTATCTAGCTGTTCAGCAATGGAGCCCGAATTTTAATCCTTTTAACAACAAGGTACAGAAAATGGCCATTTAGGTTAGAATTCCTATTTTACCAATGCACTGCTATATAGAGGAGATGCTTAGAGAGGTGGGGAATAAGATTGGCAAGGTGTTAACAATAGACCAAAATACATTAATGAAGACCCCGGGTCAATCGGCAAAGATGGAAAGAGGAAGGTTTGCTCGAGTAAGTATAGAAATAGATCTTAATAAAAGACTGTCTTCTAGATTTGTCATCCATAAACAAGTATTCACAGTTATGTATGAAGGATTAGACATTATTTGCTTTAATTGTGGACAATATGGTCATAAGAGAGAGGAGTGTCCTCTACTGAAGGCGAAAGAAACAACGGCAGAGGAGATTAAAGGAAACATGCTAGAGAAGATGACGCAATCATCACCATTGGTGAACTCAGGGCCATTTAATCCATTTTTGGTGCCGTTGGAGGAAAAATATAGAGGATGGATGCTTCAAAAGAAAACCTATAGACCTAAGTGGTTCAGGTATGATGCAGAGAGGAAGATGGCGCAGACGCAAGGGCCACAGGGTCAGAAAAAGCAGTATTTCTCTTCATCTAAACCTGCTACATCGTCGAGATTTGACATTTTGGCGGATATTGGAGAAGACATTAGACCAAGTAATACAAGAAACTCTTTCATGAAAAAAGCTACAACAACTGAGTGGAGGAGAAAGGAAGACAAAGGGAATGATAATGTGAAAGCAAAGGAAGTCAAGAGTAAAGAGAGTCTGGAGGGGCAGTCTTTGAGAAACGTGAAGTGTGTGGGTAAAGAAAAGTCAAACGAAGGGAGCTTTATACATGTAGCTATGGACTTTAAGGATAAGGAAATGGGCCAAGGAAGCCTAAAAGCACCAAGAGATGTTTTTAATTTTAAGGCCATTCCTCATAATAAGAAGCACAATGTAGTGATGAAGTCGAAGGGCGGGAAGAAGAATATGGGCTCGGGAAAATCTCCTGTTCGCGCATCTGGATTTAAAAGGAACCAAACATCAAGGCCCAAGGTACTATCTCCCTTATTAAAAAGGAAGATTTCTTCCAAGACCCATAACATAGTAAAAGGCTCCATGCTAAGGACAAGTGCTCTCTTTGTAGATCAGAATAATAAAATATAGGAAAACCCTTTAATGAGAGATCAATAAGAGTGTGAAGTGGTTCCTGAAACGCAATTCTCTAGTAATCCAAATGAGATACAATTAAATCAAAGCTTGGGTACTAATACTAATCATCAACTTCGACCCCCAAATTTATCAAGGGTGAGCCAAACTCATGTTGTAAATAATGATGGGAGTCTGGAGAACCAAGAACAATTTTTTAAAGTGGATGAAGTGGCAGAACACGGTGTGGTCACCGAGCATGCAGTTGAGATTATAGATCGAGATACTTGATATCTGGTAGGTACTGTTACCTCTTTTTGGTATTTTTATGTTTATAGAAATTATGGCTTGGAACTGTAGGGGGCTGCAGCTAAAACCTTCCCTAACAGGATTAAGGATCTTCTTAAAGATAAATATGTCAATATCCTTATCTTACTGGAGACTAGAGTAAGTGGGATGAAAGCTGATTATATCTATAGAAATTTGGGTTTTTTTAACTGGCTGAGAATGGAAGCTATGGGCTTTTCTGGAGGTATCTGGCTTCTTTGGGACAATAGTAATGTTGCTGTTGAGTATGCCTTTTCAAACACACAGTTATTACATGTGTATGTTAAGTCTAGAAATGTTGACAAATCTTTTTGGTTATCATTTGTTTATGGGGAGATTTCCCAACAGCTCCGAATTAACCTTTAAAAGAGTTTAGAATTGTTGAGTAACCACATTTTTAAACCGTGGCTAGTGGTAGGGGATTTTAATGCATATCTTACGGAGGAGGATAAACTTGGGGGGTGATCCCTAATCTCTTATCTATGAAACAGTTCAATGATGGAATTCGTAAAGCCAAGTTAAGCGAGATGGTTACAGTGGGAGATCAATTCACTTGGGAAAACAAGAGTATTAAGGAGAGAATTGATTGGGTTTTCATAAATTTTGAATGGAATTCTTCATTTCCGAACTTTAAGGCCTTTCACCTTGGAAGGTTTGGATCTAATCATCGCCCTATTTATATTCATACTCCTAGACTTACTCCTTGCTCGTGGAAACAACAAATGTTCAAATGCCAAGCTACTTGGTTTTTAGAAGATGGATTTTTTGATCTGGTCAAAAGATGTTAGAGTGAAGGCAACTGGAATGATAAAATGAAGAAATTTAAAATAGCAGCTACAATTTAGAATAGAGACAGAGTTAGAAATATTCCTCAAAAGAAAAATAAACTTTTAAGAAGGCTTGAAGGTGTTGATGCTACTAGAGCAAGAAAGGATTCGCATCATTTACAATAAGTTGAAAAAGAGTTATGGAAAGAATACAATAAAGTGCTTGCTCAGGAAGAATTATTATGGTTTCAAAAATCTAGATGCAAATGGCTTAACTGGGGTGATAGAAATAGTAGATTCTTGCATGCTACTACCACTATTAGAAGAAAGAAAAACAAGATTGAAGCACTTCGGGATAGTTCTGGGAATTGGATCTTTGAACAGGAAAAAATAAAGGCGATTGCTGTGAGCTATTATCAAGATTTGTTCAAGTCTGAACTGTCAACTTCACCAAGGGATCTCTCTGTTAACTCTTTTCCTAGACTTAATGGGGAGGAGCTTGATTTGTTAAATAAGGAGGTGACGGATGAAGAAATAAAGAAAGCTATGTTTGATATAGGAGCTTATAAGGTACCAAGGCCGGATGGTATTCAAGCTGTCTTCTATCAACAATATTAGGACTTTGTGGGAAAGGATGTGTGTACTCTTGTGAAGGGAATTTTTTCTGATCCAAGTAAAGTTGTAGCTATTAATGATATTAATATTGTTCTCATCCTTAAAATAGAAAGACCTGAAAGTATGAAAGATTTTAGACTAATCTCCTGTGCAATGTGAGTTATAAAGCAGTTACCAAGGTGATAACAAATAGACTTAAAAGGCTCATGACTATGATCATTGGAGCAAATCAATGTACCTTTATTACAGGCAGACAAAGTGCAGATAATATTATTATTGCTCAAGAAGTCATTAATTCTATGATGAGAAAAACGGGAAAAAAGGCTTTGTTGCTGTTAAAGTGGATCTAGAGAAGGCTTATGACAGATTGGAATGGTCTTTTATTCATTACTGCTTTCGAGAAGCTGGTTTTGGTGAACATCTGTGTAAGGTCATTATGGCTTGCATTTCTAGCCCTACAACCAAAGTTATTTGGAACGGTAAGGCTTCTGCTACTTTTACCCCTTCTAGGAGGCTTAGACAAGGGGACCCAATATCCCCTTACATTTTTAACTTATACATGGAAAAGCTGAGCCACATAATTGAAGATGAAGTTTCTAAGGGCAAATGGAAACCTATCAGATTGGTTAAGGATAGTCCCTCACTTTCCATTTATTCTTTACAGATGATTTGATCCTCTTTGGGGAAGTATTTAAATGTCAAATTCAAGCTATGAATACATGTATTTTGAAGTTTTGTGTGGCTCGGGACAGAAGATGAATAAAGAGAAGACAAAGCTTTGTGTTTCAAAAAATGTCCACTTTAATAGAGCTATGGAGCTAAGTAATGATTTGGGGTAGGTCTTACTGGAGATCTAGGAAAGTACTTAGGCATTCCTCTTATT